ATTTATATATACATAATAAATATACACAGTGCACACACATATATTATGTGAACAAAAACTTTTATTTTGGATGCGATTAATCGTTTGACAGCACTAAAAAAATTATGTATCAGTTTAGATTAATTATTTTAATTATTTAAAACAATATATTTTTTTTATTCATTTTTATTATTTAAAATAATCATTTATATAATTTGTAATTTAAAAAAAACAGCAACAAAAATAATAAAAGAAACTAGATTTTTGTGTTTTCTGAACAAATGCACATTGGACTACAGGCCAAAAGGTAAAAACTTTAATTATTTTATTTATTTATTTTAAACAGCATTATTTATTTTTTAATGTTCTAAAATTAATTTTACCCATGACCCCATTTAAGCGCTGAAGTATTAGTGTGTGTGTTCATTTGTGCAGTAATTGCAGGCTGTAGGGCAGACGTGTGTGAGCATAATCAGTAATGCCTGATGAATGGCTATTTTCTGTCTCTAAGCATTCTGGGAATGCCCCCTTTCCGAGCCAGGTCTCTCCCGCCACTATTTGCCTTTCGTGTCACAGAATAAACGCCCATTCTCGACCTGTCTGCCCTAAACTCCCAACATGCTTGTGGGTTGTGCATTAGGTGTCAAAAGAGGCTTCTTTGTGACCATGTTGTTGGTTTGTGTGTCAGTCTCGATGTGTCGTTTTCTCTTCCTGATTGCTCGGCAATCAAGCTCCTCTGTGAGAACGAGAAGGGCACAAAAGAGGATGTTTGGGAACGGTTGGGTGTGAAGGCCTCATGTACTCTGCTGTGTCTGTTTGCTGTCCGCTTGAGTAAACGTCTCACTTCTGTCCTGTGTAGTCTGTCAGCGGTGAGAAAACACTGGAACGAGAGACTTTCCCCTGTCCTCATAGGCGTGGGTTCATGAGGAGACACATACCAAGAACCGCTGAATGTTGTTCAGTGGTCGCTAACATAAGGATGCACAATACCATTTAACTGGTTAGAAATTGTGAGTGCAATCATTTTTAAGTACAGTGGGAGTAATGATTTGTGAGTAACATAGTATCATGAATTTTCATGATACATTAACTCTATTAATAACATAAAATGCACAACACTACCTTATTGTCCCGAATATAAGACGATGTTTTTTTCTTGGAAATACGTCTGAAAAAACGCGGTCGTCTTATATTCAGGGTCTAGACTTTGACATGTCAATAATACACCCACAACAATAGGTGGCGCCAAATACGCATAAAACGAGTGTGCCATGAAATACGTAATGTAATGCGTGTTGTAAAGATCGCAAATAAAAACAAAAGAAAAAGAAAACCTTACAGCTGCATGAGTCGTGACTGTCACGTTAGCCTGATGGCACCAAACTCCCTTTGTGATTTTAAAACGTAAGACAGTACCCAGATTTGAAGACTACAGTAAGATTGAACTTCTACTGTTAATAAGATTTTGGCAGGCTACTATTAGATGGATAGCCTAAATGTCCTAATTCAGATGGGCTACCCGTTTTTTTTGTTTTGTTTTTTTATGGTATATCAAAAAGTGTATATTTTTTAAATGTGATTGTTGATACATTTTTCCAGTTTTTACCATACTTTCAAAACAAAAATTAAAATAGGAAAAATATGCAATATGAAAATAATTGAAGACAAAATGTGTTTTACTGAGAAAAAACAAGTTTTGGTTTTTAAAAAGCCTTTTTCCAAAAGGTACATCTGGAAAAAGGGGGGTCGTCTTATAATCAGGGTCGTCTTATATTCGGGCCAATACGGTATTTACTCTTTCTTGTTTTTTTTAATTAATTTCTATATAGTTTTTTTATATTTACATTTTTACATTTTTTTTATATATTTTTTTTAAATTATTTTTTATATTTTTTTTCCCCCATTTTTTATTTTATTTTAATGTATATATAAAAGATATACAGTAAATCATATCAGTTGGCTTAATTAGTTTAATAGACCCCAATAACTTTTTTTGTAGTACAGTACAATGGGACTAACTGTGGCTTAGCAAAGCATAGTGAAGTTTTTCTGATATATTGGCCTTGGCTATTGTGATAGTCGACCACTAGTTATTTTTATTTTATTTTTATTTTTTTATTTATTTTTTATTTTTGGATCACACTTGATAGCATTTCCAGTATCATCTCCACCCTAAATGCAACAGACATGTATTTGTGTGTATTAACAGGTTGACAGTGACACTATCTGGAATGAAGTTCACTCGTCCAGTGCTGCTCGTCTGGCTGTGGGATCTGTAGTGGATCTGGTGTTTAAGGTGGCTTCAGGAGAGCTGAGGGTAAGACTGACACTCTCTCGCACACTCAGTGGTCACAGATGAATGATTTATTGCTCACCCAATCAGAATTTGGAGTCTGAATGATGCATTTCACAGATGTGTTTCTATGGAAGCTTATTTATGCCACGGTATAATAATTGCGACTTTTCATCTCATAATTCTTTTTTTTCCTCACAATTCTGACTTTTCTCACTTTTTTTCTTGGGAGATATAAATTCAGAATTGCGAGATGTGAACTCAGAATTCCAAGAAAAAAGTCAGAATTGTGAGATGTAAACAGGATTCTGAGAAGAAAAGTTGTGAAATGTAAACTTTCATTTGTGTGATATAAACTCACAATTATAAGATAAAAAGTCAGAATTTATATATATATATATATATATATATATGTATGTAAATAAATATTTGTATTCCCTGGCAGAAATAAGCTTTCTTGTATTTCCCCTCAGGCTTGTTTGACTCATAATGAGGTGAGTTGCAGCCTCGCCAGTGTTTGTCTGGGGTCAGGTGACCTGGGGCATCCTCAGAGCTCACAGGAAGTGACCCAAAAGACACAATCTACTCACATAATGCAAACATTCCTTAGCGTAACCTAACCCTGATTGAGCTGCCGCCCACCCCAGTAACATAACACACGGAAATGCATCTATCATCACATTCAAAAATGCCATGCCTCATGCCCAGAAAAACACAATACACCTACATCATCCACAATCATCAGCTGCAATCCAAACACTTTTCCTTCTCTGTTTTGCTCTCATTCTCTGGATATAATAATATCCTCTGGAGTGAGGAAGGATAACAATATCATGCAGTTGTAGGTGACCCAGTGTGAACTGTGAGGGAACGCAACATCACGTATTAGCAGAATAAAAGTCCTCTTTCTCTCAGTAGCCATGGGACGGCATGCGGCAACATGGTAGCATCCACATTGGAATGAGGTTTTTGTAAATTAACCCACATTCATCGGTGCAGTCCAAGCCAGACTCAGTGCAACAAGTTCCAGTGTGTTCTATCCTCAGTGAAAGTGAAATACTGCATAAAATGACAAAATCACAGCTAATCAATAAATAAATATGGATGTGCAGTCAGCCAAAATATGTAATAAAAGTCCTCTTTCTCTCAGTAGCCATGGGACGGCAAGCTACATGGTAGCATCCACATTGGAATGAGGTTTTTGTAAATTAACCCACATTCATCAGTGCAGTCCAAGCCAGACTCAGTGCAACAAGTTCCAGTGTGTTCTATCCTCAGTGAAAGTGAAATACTGCATAAAATGACAAAATCACAGCTAATCAATAAATAAATATGGATGTGCAGTCAGCCAAAATATGTATTAAAAAAAAATTGGGGTGATCATTGCTAAAATAGCTACTTGAATTGAACTAAATAATAGATTAAATATTATTGTTATAATTAAATATTATTGCATCAAACTTCAAAAAAATAAAGGAGCAAAAATTTTAGAACAGTATTGCAAGATAATTAATTATCCAGTGAATTATCCAGCTTGAAATATAGATTGGAAATTATCGTTCCTTTATTATTTTTTAATAATTACTTGTTATTAAATTTTATAGAGACAAAATATTTAATTGCATAGAAATTGCTCTTTGTGGGTGCAATGTCTTTAGATATTTCTTAATCCTTAGTAATCCTTACTTTTTCCCCTATTTTATTCTGATTTTCTTTCTTTTCTTTCTTATTTTTATATTAAATGCATTTTTTTTAATATAACAAATAGAATAATATATTGAATATAAGATTGAACTAAAAGTTTCTTCAAAAGTAAATAACTCAATTAATTTAAAATGTTTTTGAATTATTTTCAAATGTATTATTTTTACATAATTATGATATTATTAATTAAATTATGCATTGTTGTTACTTCTATGTTAATTAATTAGTTTATGCTCCCTTAAAACTTTAATGTATTGCAATGTTTCGACCCAGTCAAGGTCTTCGTCAGGCACACATGATTGTAATTTCATTACATTTTTATTGGTATGTCCTTTTTTTTTTTTTTTTACTCAGTAACATAAAAAGTAACAATAATTAGTGTATAATTTTAATTGAATATTTTTTTTTTTCTTTTGATACTTTTTGACCAAGCATCTGTTGTAAGTTATGTTGTGATGTGCGCACATTACTTTGAAATAAAATCAATTATTTGAAGACTTGAAGACTTTAAGGTTCCTATGTATTTCTCACTTCCAAGGTCTGAGACGCTGTGATTTAAACAGCTGTGTGTGTTTTTGTGTTCATAGAATGGCTTTGCTGTGGTGCGACCTCCAGGACATCACGCTGAGGAGAGCACTCCCATGTACGTTCCCACTGTATCTGTGTGATCTCCAAATACACTCCACAGCCAATATCAGCATCACTTTAAACACACACACAGCATCATAAATCAGTGTGACACACACTATCCTCTCACATTAATGAATCCCAGCACTGCAGTGGACCGCCTGGCCAAGACAACAGGACTTCCAGCACTCACGCTGTCTTCAGTACAGTAATGCAAATTGTCGGTGAGGTGAATACAGCACAGTAGGCCGACGTTATCTCCACAATGACTCATGCCAGTTTTATTTGGAAGGACTAGCATGTGTTATAAACTGCATTTTTCATGAGTAAGGTCGACTTTGGAGTGTCTTTTCTGTATCCAGCAATGAAAGGGATTCCTGTAGCTTGACATTAGAGTTTTGAATCTTCCAGAGAACACAACTAAAATATATATATAAATAATATATAATTTTATATATATAAATAACAAATAATTTTGACTTACTGTATATCCATTCAATTAAATAAAATAAAAATTACAAATATGATTATAAAATATTTTATTTAATTATTAATTTAAGATATGTTTTGCACACAACCTTGTTACCACAAAATTGTCTCTATTCCAAATGAAAGATCTTTTAAATTGTTACTTTTGAATAATTTGTTGAGAAACGAAAGCAAATGGCCCCGTTTTCTCAGTTTGTACACATTGTAATAATGACTTCATTTGTCAACCTCAAACATTCAACATTGTTACCCAAATAATTGTAAGAAAAATTAATCAAACAAATACTTCTTCTGGATTGATATGTTTATCAGTGCACTAAAAAAAAATTATGTTGAAACAATTTTCACTCAGAGATTTCTAGAAAACCACAAATTATTACAAAGAAATGCCTAGAATTATTAAATTAATTGTAAGAAAAAAAAATCATCAAATACTTTTTCTGGATGAATACGTTTATCAGTGCACTGAAAAGAAAATGTTGAAACAATTTTCACTCAGAAATTGCTAGAAAATTTTACAAATAATTACAAATAAATGGTAAGTGTTATTGACATTTTTAAGTTGAAAAACTTGTAGACAAAATAGTATTTTCTTGTACTCCAATCATTTCTGTTTTATTTATAACTTTGAAAAATGATATTTTACTGTGTAATTACAAATCAATAATATATATTGATACATTTTGTCTAATTAATTTTGATGTTTATTTTATATTACTAGAAAACAGTAATTACAAAAAATAAAGGTTTTAAACTGTAGAAATGTCCCAATTTGTGGTTGCGAAAAAATGACCATTAGTTTGACCTCAGTATTGTCAATCAACAGTTTCTGGAGGTTAAGCACTTCTTTTTACTGACCAAATGCTGAAACATGAAAACTGATTTCATGATTCATTTTGTAAGAGTTTCAGGCCCCCTCTGTACTTTATTCCTGAAAAGTATCATGTATTGCTGATCTGGAAGCATTTTCTTGCATGCTTCATAGTTTGAGCTGTTTGGGTACACTGCGTTCTCAATGCTCAGCAACCTGGATGCAATTTTATTTATCTTAAAGCTTGATGGTTTATCCAAATTAATGTCGGGTATCGTTAACGTGGGACTAAATTCCCTCTAATTGCCGAACGTTGCTGCTCTTAAAGGCTCGAGCGTCACAGCCGCTCCTCCCATCTTTATTCCCAGTGCGTCTCCCTCATTACGGAAAGGTTAAAGTAAACGAGTGTTCCTCAGTCTCTATGGTGAAAGGTTAAATAAAAGGATTGTTCCATCGATGGCATGTTTGAGGAGCAGACTGAGGTTTGGTGCCTCTGCCGTGGGCCAGGCCCTGTTCTTACGCTCTGATGTCAAGCCAGGACGCAGTGGGTGAATCGTGTCATTAGTGAAATGAGACAATCCATCAGGCCAGGAGGTCCACTTCACAAACGCACACAATCAGGCCCTCCACGATAGATCACACACCAGCTGATTGTCCCGGTTCGGTGTTCTCTCTCACAAGATGTTTTGTGCTTTTTGTTTTTGACACATAACAGGGGATTTTGCTATTTCAACTCTGTCGCCATTGCAGTCAAACTTCTGCAGCAGAGACTCAACATCAGTAAGATTCTCATTGTAGACTGGGTAAGTGCACACTCAATCAGTTCATATTTTCTTTATTAATAAATGTCCCTTTTCCTATTTCTGTGCCACTAGAGTTACCAAACTAAATTGCACAAATAATCTCATTTTCAAACCGATTCCCAAACAGTGACATTGATGCATATATTAACAGTGGAAAAAATTGCACACATCATTTTCAGTAAATCACAATTCTTTTATCTTTCTTTCTAACCCTTTAATTCTTTTATCACAGTTTAATAGTTTTCTTTTCTGCTAACATAAACAGTGCCGTGAGTGGGGGGGGGGGGATTTTATTATAAATTAAATCTAATATTTAGTTTATAATATAATATTAATATATTTAATACATTTAAAATTTAATAAATTAAATATTTACAAAACATCAAGAAAATATGTAAAGTTGAAATATTTTGCATTGGTTATATTAGCATTATAAATATATAATTTATGACATTTTAAATGTATTAAATATTTTAAATGTATTAATGTGTTAATTATTAAAAACGTATCAATTAATATAAATAATATATATGTTTCATTTATAATATTACTTCATTTATAATAAAATATTAAATTATTTAATGCATTTAAAATGTCTGAAATTAAATATTTACATTATAAACATATAATTTATGGAATTTTAAATGTATTAAATATTTTAAATTTGTTCATGTATTTATTATTAAAAACGTATTGATTTTTGTAAATGAAATATATATTTCATTTATAATATTACTTCATTTATAATAAAATATTAAATGAATTAAAATATTAAATTTTATATTAAATACTGGTTATATTATCATTATAAATATTTAATGTATTGCATTTTAAAGTATTAAATATAAATGCAACTTATTATTTATTTTTTGTAAATTAAATAAAATATAAACAATAAAATAGTTTATGGCATGTGGGACTGTGTCCGTCTGATCTTGGGCCAGCGGTAGCCTGAAATGGGTCCACATGCACAGGAAGACGTGTGGCGTCAGGGCAGGGCTCTGCTGGGGTCATTAGGGTTTTTGGATGCCTTTTAAAATGTCTTTCATTTCCTCCTGTCTGTCATACGGGGAAGCTGACCGCGACGTAGTTGCAGACATGAAAAGAAATGAACAGAATAATACAGCTCTCTTAAACGGCCCTCCTGCATCACAGACGACTCAGAATAGATTTTTACATGCTTTTCATTCCAATGCGAACACAACAGAGTGACGACATGTCTTTTAACAGCATCTGACTTTTACATTGTTTAACCAAATATTATAGATTTTTTGTGCTGTTTTGACTGGTGTTGGCCTATCTGAAAGACATCACTGGACCCTTGCTGGATCCTCTTCAGTTTGCGTACAGAGCAAACAGGTCTGTGGATGATGCATTATATTCTGCAACATCTTGATAGACCTGAGACTGACGCAAGGATCTTATTTGTGGACTTCAGTTCGGTCTTCAATACCATCATGCCTGACCTTCTCTCAGACAAACTGACCCAGCTCTCCGTGCCCACCCCAATCTGTCAGTGGATCACAAGCTTCCTGACAAACGGGCAGCAGCTAGTGAGGCTGGGTAAACTCACATCCAGGACTCTCACGATCAGCACTGGTGCCCCTCAGGGATGTGTGCTCTCCCCACTGCTCTTCTCCCTGTATGCACATGAATGCACTGCAAAAGACCCCTCTGTCTAGCCCTTGAAATTTGCAGATGATACTACCATCATCGGCCTCTTACACAACAGAGACGAGTCTGCTTGCAGATAGGAGTTTAAAGAGCTGGCTGTCTGGTGCAGTCACAACAACCTGGATCTGAACATGCTCAAAACAGTTGAGATAATAGTGGACTTCAAGAGAAACCCCCCTGCACTCCCCCCACTCACCATCATGGACAGCACTGTGGCCGTAGTAGAGTCAGGTTCCCGTCACCACCATCTCTCAAGACCTGAAGTGGGACAATCACATAGACTCCATTGCTAAAAAGGCCCAGCAGAGGCTGTATTTCCTTCACCAGCTGAGGAAGTTCAACCTGTCACAGGAGCTGCTGAAACAGTTCTACTCGGCCATCATTGAGTCTGTCCTGTGTTCATCCATAACTGTCTGGTTTGGTTCAGCCACCAAATCAGACATCAAGAGACTATAACGGACAGTCAGGTCTACTCAGAAGATTATTGGTTCCCCCCTGCCTAACTTCCAAGATCTTTACACGTCCAGAGTGAGGAAAAGCACCAACCACCAGAAAAGCCAGGCACAAGAAGTTTTTTCCCGCAGGCTGTATTCAGCCTGAACAATTAAAACTTGCATAACTATACATTGTCCATTATAACTGACACATTTATACATACCATCTGAAAATTGTACATTTGTAAACTACATAAACTGTACACTTGTAAATAACATATCTGTACATTCATTAAAACAATTCTATATGTTTTTTCTCTATATTTCTACTTTTGTATTATATTGCATTATTGAATTTTCTGTTTTTTTCTTATGTTAGTGTTATATTTTATCTCTACTGTGTAATTCCTGTGAATGCCTGCAGTGCACTATTATGGAACGATATTCCGGACAATTTTGCAAGGACTTGCAAATTGTATTTTCAATTGCGTTTTCCATATGTGGACGCATAAATTGTGACATAATCCAAACATGTATGTTTGCACTATATCTATACTTTCTTCTGCACTGGAACCTCCTGTCGCCAAGATAAATTCCTTGTGTGGAACATGCTTGGCAATAAAGCTCTTTCAAAGCTCATTTTTTCTAAAGCTCTTTCTGACTTCTGATTTCTTAGTGGTCACTAGAACAAACAGATGACATTTAAATTATATGTACTGTTGTGTATTAGGATGTTCACCATGGCAACGGGACTCAACAGGCCTTCTACAGTGACCCTAATGTCCTGTATGTGTCTCTCCATCGCTACGATGATGGGAACTTCTTTCCTGGCAGCGGAGCCCATGATGAGGTGGGTTTTATGTACATTTTGACAGTAATTTGATATACACTACCATTCAAAAGTTAAGGGTCCGTACGATTTTTGAAAGAATACGTATTATCACCAAGGCTGCATTTATTTGATCAAAAATAGTCAAAACAGAAAAAAAAAACAGCTAAATTATCAGTAATAATTGTGCAATATTTTAAAATTTAAATTAACTGTTTTCTATTTGTATATATTTTAAAATTAATTTATTTCTGTGATTCAAAGCTGAATTTTCAGCATCATTACTCCATTCTTCAGTGTCACATGATCCTTCAGAAATCATTCTAATATTCTGATTTGCTGCTCAAGAAACATTTTTTATAATTATCAATGTGGAAAACAGTTATGCTGCTTAACATATTTGTGCAAACCATGATTCTTTTTTTTTTTCGGAATTCTTTGAACAATAGAAAAATTTTAATCTTTGGTAATAATATACAGGAAAAGTCTTTACTGTCACTTTTGATCAGTTTAATGCTAAATGAAAGTATTATTCTTTCAAAGTAAAAACCTTACTGACCCCAAACTTTTGAATGGTACTGTATATCACACTATTAGTCTATTTGCTTTGAAACATTGGAAAATATTACCTTTTTCCAATTTCTATTGTTTATATTTGTTTTCAGTAAGAGGAACCAGAATTTATACCAAGCAGCCGTTTTTGCCATATGAATTAAAAATGCAAGAAATACAACATTTACATATGCATGTAATACCAATATTTTGATACAAATGTCTGAGATTTCATTGAAAGTCTGAAATTCAAAATCAGATTTAAACCTAAAAATAATCAGTTTGGGGGGTTGGAATACCTCACTAAGAAAAATTGGGGAAAATAAAGACAAACTGTTTAATATTCTGCACTATTTCTAGGTCACTAAGCAAATTTATGACATTATCCTGTGATTTGTTTGCACAGACAGTCAGATGTTCTTTCTTTCATTGGAAATAGTCAGGTTTTATACAGTTTTTTCACTTGAATTGAATTTAATAGAATTTTATATTTTTAAAAAGTGCAAACTAAAAGCATTTTCACAAGTGGTCTTAGACTTTTGGACCTTACTGTATATTCTGAATATCTAATATAAATATATCAGACATCAACCTGACATGAGCAGAGCAAAAGACAGTTGTGTTCTTCTTTTCCCCTTATTTGACTCCAATTTCTCTCAGTTATAATTAATGCTCATCATCATTGATCCGGTAAGTCAGCTCCTGCCTCTGAACTAATGAGGGGATTCAAAATTAAATTGACTCCGTTGTAGCCCTAAATTCTGGTATTAGTCAAAGTCCATTTGGTTTTCAAATAAAACCTCATTACAGTTATACTCTGGTCATAATTGTTGGGATTTGTCCTTTATTGGCTCTGTGATATCAGCCTTAATTTAGTGGTTTTCCTGGGGAAGTTGGAATGTACATGATTCATAATACCTGCTCATCTGCTCCAACAAGAACTTTTTTTTTTACTAAGCCGCACATTTAATTGAATTGAATCTGTGGTTTGTCTGTGTTGTCTATAGGTGGGCATCGGTCCAGGCGTGGGCTTTAACGTGAACATGGCCTTCACCGGTGGTCTGGAGCCGCCCATGGGGGACGCAGATTATCTGGCAGCATTCAGGTAACACCGTCACCCATATATACCTGTTACACCAAAATAAGCGACAGTCTACATAACCTTCACATAGCATGTTACGGTCTTTGTTTGCAAATATAAGACTGTAAATGCAGTTCAGCATCTTTTTGCCATCATGAGCTGACTTTTGTGTTGGAGTCAGTCAGGTGTCATATATTTCATAGCAGTCAATACAAACAATGCTTTTTGTAATTAAAATTGTTATTTTAAACTAACAAGTGTACAAAAACATAGAATACTGTTGTATTGTAGCAAGGTGAAAATAGGAGCCACATCAGCTTTGTTGATTATTATGGTGTTTTTGTGTAATTTTATAGTTATAGTTTGTATTTATAGTTTTCATTTTAATTTTAGTTTCAGTTTTAATAATTTTTCTCTTATGTGCTGTTGTTTTATCATTTTTATATTTTTTATTCTTTTAAAGGGATAGTTCACCCAAAATCATTAATTACTCACCCTCATGTCGTTCCTAACCCGTAGATATATTTGATGCATTCTGAGAGCTATTTCTATTTAGTTTTCATTTACTTTTATTTCAGTTTCAGTTTTAAGAAATTTTTGTACTTCGGCTTTAGCTTATTTCAGCTAGTTGCCAAGGTAACGTTTCTACCTTGTAGAAAAAAGTAAAAAGTAAAGTTTTTCATCTATTTATTATTATTACTATTATTTAAGTTTTATTTAAGTTTTATTTCAATTACCAAAATTGTGTTTAATGGATTTGGTTTTAGTTAACAATAACAAATAAGGTTTTGCAATGTTTTAAGTATTTTATAGTTTTTGTACTAGAAAACTAGTCGAAAAGACTAAAAACTCTTTAAAACCTATGAGTAATTTTTGCTGTGTAGTTTTGTTTTGCATACATAGTTTTGACCTGGACATTATCCCAGCCCTCAGATACTGATGTTAGTTGTTAGGTTTTAGTGGCCGGTTCAGAATCCATGTTTCCCACTCAGAATTGCATTTTATTTGGAAATGTGCAAGATGGATCCAAGTTGGGCTGCCAGTGACACCATACTGATGAAAGAATCGGTAGACACTTTAACTAACTAATCAGTAAACACTCTAACTAACACAGAGTGATATTTGCCTTACAGTGTTTATTATGTATTACTTTCAGTGAATAGTTATTTACTCCCTCTGCATATTTATATTACCAGCAGCTGCACAGATTTTATGTGGGCACATGTGCCAGAGAGTGGCCTGTATAGGGCTGAATTTATCGCAAGGCAATATTCTTTTATTCCAACCCCAGTGACCTCACAGCCAATAGAAGGACTGTATTTCACCACAGTTTGTAACTCAAAAAAGTATGTGATGAGTGAGAACACAGGAGAATCCTAACTGACTCTTAAAAGCTGCAGGGAAAACACTCCAGTTTGATGGGTTAAATCAGCTGACTTTTTCTTTTTCGGCCTGACATAAATTGATAGGAAAGACTTTTAAAAACCATTTCAAAGAGAATCAAAGACTCTTTTCCAAAACCTAGTGAGCCTACATAGGCAACGGCTTCTAAGGTGAAACCTCATAATTGACTAATTTGAAACGATTTTGGTGTTCATTGACTTTTATTCATTTTTGCTTATTTTGGCAGTGCATTAAGAGATTGCATTCTTAATCTGAATTTTTGGTGTTTTCATTCAACTTGTCACAGTACATTATGGGGTTGTATGGGATTGTCTCTTGTACATACTTTTTTGCTTTTGTGTCAGCTTCATGATCTCTTAAAATGAAACCTACTTAGGCAGAGGTAAATAGAGCCAAACCAACTCACTGGTTTAATATTGCTTAACTGACACCCATATAACAGCCAAAGAGTGTGAAAAGCCCCAGGCAAAGCCCCATTTTCACAGAGATTTTTTTCATGAATTGTAGGCAGTTGTTGGAGAATTGGTTGGAGAATGGGGTCTTGTAACAATTTGTATAAGCACTGCTCATCCGTTGAACTGTCCCTTTCATCTGTAGCAGGGGCTAATAGGAGTCTTTGATGGTGAGCCAGTAAAGCTGAGCCCCATTAGCATAGGTGTTTGAGGCTATTAATAACCCCCTCCCTCATGGTGCGGGTGCACGGCTGATTCGAGACGCTCTTTGAAAAGGGGCCTCTGTGCCCAACGCGTTCAGGCTGCTTCGGCAGGTAGATGGCTAAAATATGGCCCACTGCAGGGCGATGATAAGACAGGATAGTCCTCGCTCATCCCTTTTTTAAAAAAAAACGACCACCTCCTTCTCTTTGACCCAATCAGCCCGCTCTCAGTCTGTCCGACTGTTGTTGTAAATCTCTCCCCAACACGTCTTCGATAAATTCGCTTCACCTCCCTCGGCGGCCTTTCCCTCACGCAGGGTGTAAGCGATGCCAGCTGAGTCCGACCCGTCTGCAAATCTCCCCCTGATCTCATCTGCATCAGCACCCGGCACCCGTATCAAGATGCTCCGGTTTGGCCATTGAGAATCAGTCAGTTGGAAAAGCTTTTAAGCTTTTTAGTTTGATGCGCATCTTCCTTCGTAAAGCCTGCAGGGATGCGACTCGCTTTCAATTGCTTTACGTTTCCATATGACTCACAGACACGTGTGTTGCCAGCCGCTGTACTCATACCCTGGCGAACACCTTCAGTCTATCGGTCTATTCATACTGTTAATCCGTGCCTACCAGGCGTCTGCACTTCTCGACCCACCCAGAATGCCCTCACCCCCCTGTAGAAATGTCTGCTGTTTCAGAGTAAACAAATCATTTTACAGTTGCGTTGTCATATGTTGTCACTCACTTTTAGATAGCAAAGAGTTAAACTGCAATGCACACAATTCTTATTGAAAACCATTTTCCAATGTTTTCTTTTTTTATGTTTTTGTTTTTTTATGTTTTATGTTTTTAACACTAAATTCCTCTGCATAAATGATATAACCTTGTAATTACTATGTGCAATTGTTTAAATTTTGAAAAATATACACGTCACTCATCTATTATGCAGCTGAGACAATTATCTAGTTCAAAAATAACAATAAATTTCAAACAATAACAAAAAACTAGTATTGTGTAGGTATAGTAAAGTTAAATTGTTCAAAATATATTAAAAACTTTACATAAAAAGCAGTTGTTACTCATTATTTCAAATGTGAAATGCCATATTTTACAACAAATCTTTTTTTTTACTAATTTTATTTATTCATTCATTAATTCATTTTTTAAAACTGGACTTAACATGTTATGAAAAAATGCTTGCCACTAAATGTGAATTTTATTAAAAAGTTGCTCCTTGGGTTAAAGATCATGTGGTCATGTTTATTATTTATAATATTATGATTAATATTTTTATATTACATATTATAATATAAAATTGTTTATTTGTAATCATATTTATATTGTATTTTCTTTTATTATTATTATTAAAACCATTTGTTAAAAAAAAAATCAATCATAATAATAGTTATTATATATTTATTTATTTATACAGTTCTATAGCATTGATGCATTATGGATGGATTGTATGAATTGATTCCGTTGGAAGTGCTTGCAGTTTTGAGGAATGACCCAAACCATATTAGCGTCAGCGTTTGCCTCCTAAACGAGAGTAGCCGTGTAGCTCAGTATGCAGTATGTGTAGTGCTCTACTGAGTTACGGGGGCACCTGGGCTATTAATTTAATTGAATAACATGCAAATCTTCTCATGATTCATTCTGAGGCAAAGGAAACTCCATGTTAAGGGACTCAGAGTTGTGTTCATGGGCAGCAGTTATCTGTGTGCTGTAGCAGTCCTGTGTGCACCCGTGATCCACCCAGATGAGGGGACTCGTCTCACTCCCGCCGCACTCTCTCTCTCTCTCTCTCTCTCTCTCTCTCATGTTTTCTGTCATCAGCTGATGTTTGATTTAATGATCCCTCAAGACAGAGGAGGCAGAACGCAACACTTCATATATTTCTGTCTACTGCCTTCCTGCTCACGTCTTTCTTTCTTTCTTTCTTTCTTTCTTTCCTGTGCGCTACCATTTCTGGTAGTTCATTTTTGTTGTTTATTTTTATTGTTCTTCCTATCTTCCTTCCTTTCATTTGCTGGTTCGTTCTTTCTGTTTTTGTTTGTTTATTCTTTCTTTCATTATTCCTTTTGTCTTTATTTATTTTGTTAGTTTTTGATTATTCATTTGTTCTTTGTCTATTATTTGATTGTATTATTCTGTCTTTTGTTTGTATGTTTGTTCATTCTGTCTTTGTTTGTTTTTAATTAATTATTTCTGTCTTTCGGTTGTTTGTTCTGTTTTTTTTTTTGTTTTTTTTTGTATTTGTTTTTGTTTTTCGTTTGCCTGTTCCTTCTGTGTCTTTCTTTCAGTAGTTTTTTTTTTACATTATTTGTTTGTTCTGTCTTTCTTTTAAGTTTGGTTGTTCTTTCTGTCTTTCTATTGTTTGTTTTTTCCTTTGTATTTTGTTTATTTTTTTGCTGTTCTCTTTTGTTTGTTTGTCTACCTTTCTTTTTTCTATTGTTTGTATTTCTCGTTTTCTTTTTGCATCATTTGTTTTTGTCTGTCTTTTATTTGTTTGTTCCTTTGATATCTTTCTTTAAATTGCTTGTTTGTTTGTTCTTTATTTTTTTCTTATTTGTTTATTCTGTCTTTCGTTTGTTCCTTCTGTCTTTCTTTCTGTCTTGTTTTCCTTCTTTCTTCTCATTTATCACTTTCCCTCTTAATGTATGCCTCTTTCTTGTTCACCTTCATCTTTTTTCTCCTCTCTCTCGCTCTCTCTTTCCCCCTTCTCTCCCTCCACTCGTCGTGTTTCCTCCTCAGCGATGTTTTGTGGGCCTCTCGAGACAATGCATGCCTTACGGGCAGCACCTTCTTATTTAGACCCAGCCACATTGCATTTGCAGGGGATCAACCCTAGGATGAAGAAAGGAGGGAGAAAAAAAGATAAGAAAATTGGCTCTAATGAAAACCAGAAGCCCAGGCACTCTCACCATGAACTTGGAAATAGAAAGGAGAATTGAAGTTAATTCAAACCAGC